GTATGCCCTTCTAGAACCAGCTTCTCAGCAAAAATTAACAACAAAATTAGTCACTTTTTGTAATTATCGGGCTGGTATATTTAATAAGGAGTGTGGTGATTCTGTTTGTTTTACTTCCAAAACAAGTGGTCAACTCTGAGTTATTCCAGTAACACCCAATGACTTCTCATGCTGACTGCTCTGTACCAGAAACCCTTGATAACTCCGACTGCCCTCTTCTGCCTGACTTTGCTTAAATAATTAGTGTCTGGTTTTAGCTAAGTACCTGCTAAGTACCTGCTCAGATATAAAATCTTTCATTTGGGTTGAAAAGAGAACCCATACTTATCTCAGGATTCTTAGCTAACAGGAAATTTTGGCAACTTCATAAGATTGTTGAATGCTTAATGCTTACACTTCCTTAAGAAAGTTTTTTGTTTTGTAGTGCTGGGATGGAACCCAAGGCCTTGTGTGCTTGGCAAGTGCTCTGCCACTGAGCCACATCCCCCAGCCCTATGAAAACTGTTTTGTACTAAGGATTGAACCCATGGGTGCTTGACCACTGAGGTACATCCCTAGCCTTTACTTTTATTTTAAAATATTTTTTTAGCTGTTGATGGATCTTTATTTATATGCAGTGCTAAAAATCGAACCCAATGCCTCACACACGCTAGGCAAGCACTCTACCACTGAGCTACGACTACAGCCCCCTTCTTTATTTTTTATATTGAGACAGGGTTTCACTAAGTTTCTTAGGGCCTCACTAAGTTGCTGAGGCTGGCTTTGAACTTGCAATTCTCCTGCTTCAGCCTCAGGAGCTACTGGGATTATAGCTATGAGACAGTGTGCCCACCCCTAAAAAAGGTTTGTGAAGCAAAAGCTCCACAGTGTGTAACTGGTGGATAACTACTCAACAGTGCATTTGCTTTATTTTATTATAAAAAATTCGATGGATCAGGACTGTGCCAGAGCAGCCATTTAGAGGTGACTGAGACACAGTTCCTTCCTGAGTATCTTGCTTTCCAGCAGGAGACTTGGGTGTGGGAGGGTGAAGAATAGATGGAATACATAAAATTACAATTTTACAGAGCTAAGTTCAAAATAAAATGCGGTGTGAATTTGGGGGACACTCAGGGAAAGGAGTTGCTAATATTATTTTTGCAGAGCCTTAACGGAAAGGAGTCTGCCTTTCAGGAAGAAAAAGATTAGGGAGAGGGGGTTGGAAAAGAGCATGATGAAAACTCAAGGTAGTGAAAATCATCCATGCATGGACCAGAGAATCCTAAGGAACCAGCCAGGCCCCACTGGGAAGCAACATATGAGGACAGAAAGTAGGCCATCATTAGATCTAGAAGGGCCTTGGACACTAAGTTGAGGAGTTCAGTCAGGTGGACTTGCAGGGGAAGTTACAGTCCCATCTGCTTAGAAGGAAGACACCTTGGGCAACTAGTTTGGTGTGTAATGGAGGCTGCTATGAAGGAGTGGCTGCCCCAGAAGCTGATGGGAACAAGGTGGGCCTGTGTGGTGGGTGGGACCCAAAGATAAGCAGGTCCGGCCAGTGCCAATATTCACAATCTCCTAGAGGGCAGTGGGGAAGTAAGCCTGTGACATTTGTAACTCTTATTTCTCTGAGGCAGCAAAGGGTAGTGGGGTTTACCATGGACATTCTGATCTCTTGGATGGCTGTCATAGGATGGCAGCAGAGCACATGGAACCCAGTGGAGCCCAGGACTTGGTCTGCCTGGTTTTGAATCTGGCTCTGCCATTCTGGAGCGAGTTTCTTACCATTTCTGCAAGTCAGTGTCCTGCTTTCAGGGATGGCACTGGCCCCTATACTGGCAGGGTTAATATGAGGGTGGCCAATCCACGGAAGGTGTTAAGAACAGTGTGGAATATAGCAGGCCCTGGGTAAGGGTTATCTCTAGCAAGCTGCTGGTGGACTGAAGGCTATGAAATTAAAGCTGCTGTGGTGGAAAGGGGCTGCAGTCCAACTCTTTGTCCTTGCCCATTCCGTGGAGCAGGCCTTGATAAAACCTCTCCACCTGTCTGAAAATCACAAGGCTCTCCACTTTCGGAGTTAATTTCTATGTTTCCTGAACTCAGAGAATTCAAGGAATTCAAGTAGGGTGAGCTGCTGATGCCTGAACTCTTTCTCCTCAGGCAGCAGAGTTCATTCAACAACCTGAGGAGAACCAGTGGTCCCCCATACCTACAGGCACCAGGATAATCCAGCCTAGGCCCACAATGCCCAGAGTCAGGAGCTGGGCCCAGTGCTTTGCAGGTACAGGATAGTTGTCAAAGCTCACCCCAGATACAGACACCCCTGCTGGCCCATGAGGAGGGCTTAGAGGGGGGCTTTTTAAGGGAGAAAAGTCCTCCCCAACAGAATAGAAGTTGTCATCATTTTCTGCTACATAAAGTGTCCTCGAAGGAAGTTCTACCTCATGGTTACTATAAATGAGCTCATTTCAGGTGAGTGTTTAATACAGTTAAGCAGGCAAGGGCCTTCCTCCGGAGCCCACTTACCTGTAACCCATTCTTCTTATACCTACAGAAGTATGTACAGTGTTCAGCAGGTTGAGTGGGTATTCCAGGCCCAGTGAACATCCAGAGCTACAGTCTAAAAAATTCTAAGAAAAATTCTTTTGCAGTTTTCATAGTGTGACTAGACAAAAAGATACTTCACATTTTGACATGCTATATAAATGAGGCAAAAATTAATTCTTTCTAGTCTGACTCAAGGTCACTTTGCTGTCATTTTAAAGACTACAATTTCTAACTAAGCCAAATCCTACAGGAATTGCAGCAGTGCTTATAGTGTTGGCACCCATCCATCATGACTGGAGTTGAGAATCTTTTCAGAGACCCCTAATATGTGAGATTTTATCACAGCATTACTGATCCCAAATTAACAAGAGCAGTTCTAGAGGCAACCTTTAGCTTCCATTCATCAAGGTTAGCTGTTATATTAGGCAGACCAGTATACTCTGGGGAGTAACTAGTATCTTATTAAGTTATAAATACATTTAATGGCTTTAGTACTGGTTTCTTATTTTGGAATATGAGAAAGAAAAAATAGAACTCATAATCACAAGAGTCTAAGTAAAAATCCACTATTTTTTAATAACATGTATTTACCTACAACATTGCTTATGAATTATCTTTTTTTATGGAGCCCACATGCCTCCTTAAAGGACAATTGTAACTCCCCTATAACTGATCACCCAGCTACTTGCAAGGATGAACTGGTTTATCTGCTCAAGAGAAATCAAAATTGGTACAAGATTTTAAAATCAAACTGTTCAGTTTTGATTCATACTAGTCAAACCAGTTCAGAAAAAGACCAAGAGACTTCTTTCCCCACCCTCACCTGCCTTTGTGGTTTCTCCTTAAGTGCCCATCTTCATTCACTGAACTTTAAACAGAGCATTTTCTTTCTTTTTGCACTGACTGAACTGAGGACCTCCCACATGCTAGGCAAACCTTCCACCACAGAAAGATAAAAGAGCAGAGTTCTTATCTTTCCCTTATCTACACTGAGAAAAAACATATTTAGATCATCCACCAAATAATAATTGCCTATTATAGCAAGTGTGAGCTTACCTCATTTCCAGCTGCTGATTTGCTCCCAGGTCCACTGATTGTAGGCAAATTCTAGGGCAGTGCCCCCTGGATTCCCAGGAATGAGGACTGTCAAGGAATCCTCAGTGGTTTGCTGGGAAGAAGTGGTCCCTGAGCTGACTAGGAGGAAATCTAAATTAACTGCACAGGTGCTATAAGCTCCATATGGGTAACACCCCTCACATCCCACCCCCTTCTGTTCCCAAATACAAATGAGCCACTCAATCTTGTCCTTTCTCCTCACATGCTGCTCATCTCTAGCCCCACTGGCCTCCACCCCAAGGGAGGTGAGTGTTCTGGGATTCCTGATCCCTAGGTGGGATTCCCCAGACTAGTGGCAACCAGGGCCTCGGGAGATCCCCAGTAGGGGTGGGAAAGAGTGTCAGAGAAAGGTCACCATTCTGCAGGGGCTGAGCTGCTTGCTCTTGGTCAGGATAAACAGACTCGCCTCAAATAAAGGCTAGCATGGTCCTTTGGGGTGACTTCTCCCCCATATAGAGGACGGCTAGCTGAGGCAATCTGGAGTTGGCTTAAAAATCAGCAACAGGGAGGGGGAACCTCACAACAAACAGTGGTAACAGAAGGTTTGTGTGGGAGGATGGTTAAGTTTGGTCTAAAACAAGCAGTGTCTCTGGTAATGAGCTGTTGTTAGGAAATACGTGGGGCCCTCGGTGCTCCCAGCCTCTAAGAGCACTGTTGCTGCCTCTCGTGGGCTGGAGTTTTTGAGGGGAAAGGATGGAGAAGGGCAAAGTGAGATGACACAAGGACTCAAGCACAGGGATACTACAGAACAGTGGAAAAAACCACCGCATGTGTGGCAGCCACAAGGGCCTGCTCTTGAATCCTGGCCCTATTCATATCATTCTGTGACTTTTAGTTAATACCTACCTTCTCTGCATCAAAGCTGGCTATCTGTGAATGAGGACACCTAAGCTATCAGCTGGAGTTCTGGCCAAAAACACTCAAGGACAGTGAAGCACCTGAGGCTGAAAAAAGCAGGGAGCTAAGACCAATCCTGGGCTGGGAGGCAAAGAGGAGGGTGTGATTACCAAGTCTCAGAAGTCACCTGACTGGAGCTGGGTAGCCCTTGGCAGAGAAGCCCAGCCACAGCCAACCCACACCTGGCAGGAGGAGGCCCTAGAGATTTCCCTTATCCTCTGAGTTCCTCCCAGCATCTGTGGTGATCCTGATCAGCAGCCAGGACAGGTCCATAGAGGCTGACTTTCAGGGCAGGTGCAGGGTAAGGAGAGGGCCCAGGGAGTACTCAGAGACTATCCTGCATGCCTAAATACGTGATAAGGCTGGCAGGGAGCCAAGCCTTAAAGTGAGATGATCATCATAAATGCCTGGCACAGTAAACAGTTACTCATTGCCCAAGTGACAGACTTTATGGTATTTACTTATCAAAAAGCCATAATACAACTTTATTCTTAGGTAGTCAAAGCCAGAATGAAAACAAGATATAGTCATCCACTCAGAGTGAAAAACAAAACTTTTACAAAATTGACAGATAACATTTATTAAAACATGTCATACAAAAGGGCATGGTCTCTTCTATAAGAAGAAATATTAAACAGTAACATTCAATTAAGAAAAACCATGCTGTGCACCAAAGACAGCAATTATATAAAGACAAAACTATTCAACTTTTGCAACACAGGCATAACATTTCACAAATACCAATAAGATATGCACCTAATGATAATCTGCTTATCATTAAATGGTTTTGTGGCCTACGAGTCACCTGACTTGCATAAATAAATTTTCTGGAAGAAACATTGGGAACCTCATAAAAGGAAAGAAGGCAGCAGCAACTGACATGACACAGGCTTCAAGCAAAAAAAAAAAAAAAAAAAGTCACATTTCCAAAATGTGTTCCAGCATCTTCCCATAGGGCACAATCAGTAGAGATCTGAAATAAGAAACTTGTACCTTTAAATATGTGAGTAGCAAAGGAAAAAACCAAAAACAAACAAACCCTGGTTTCACTGAACAAAGTTAGTTACTCATGAAAGCAACCTAAATCACAAAAGTCAGTGGCACAGAAGGGGGCTGGCGTAACACATCCCTTGGTTTCTGGCATTCCTAAAGTATCAGAGAGTTTATAGGAACAAAAATGAGTGGATTTACTGAAGTTGCCTTCCCCACCCCTACCTGAGGCTGCAGCACACCCTTCTCAGGAAAGCACAACCTTGCCCCTAACTTCCCTTCTGCAGCAGCACAGGGTGTGCCAGTCTCTGTGGGAAGGAGCCACAAGGCTTTCCCAATAGTTAGCAGCCTGCCTAGGTCAGTGTAGTTCAACAAAAGCCCAGTAGAATAAAGGGGACCCTTTGGGGTAGACTTTTAAAACAAGGGCCGAAAGAGACTGGGGAAGGCAAGATCTAGAAATGGGACTCAATGGTATGAGGCTCAGGAGAGGCTGGGGGCAAGCCCTGACATCTGAGTCACTGCTTTACCAAGTAGATTACTATGATGTGTCTTGTCTAGATCGAAAGGCCTAATCTTTGCAGAATATTAAATGCCACTGGTGGTGCCTTGAAGCCCTTTCCCACTGGGATGAGAGAAAAACCACAGTTAAGACTCAAAGTAGGGGACAAATACCTTGGTTATAGGCCATTGAATGATCCCTGAAAGACTGTTTGGAAAATGTTACTATCCAAACACATTTGGAAGGATAAGGATTTCCTAAAGCTGTGTCTGGGCTGAAGGAGAAACTGAGGGCGGGGAGGCAGGAGTGCAGCATGATCTCCTAATCCTGCAAAGCAGAGTCCACCAATACTGCAATTCCTTATCCAGACTAAGGCTGACACCCAGCAACTCACAGGGCCTGGTTGACCCATAAGCAACCCCCATTTTTACCAAAACCTGAACTACCACAAGAAACTTTAAATAGCAGATGTGAGGACCTTATTTAAGTTCTACATTTAGCAGCTGATGTACATATAAGGATTTCAATAAGATACTCCTCTCTTCAAACACATTAAGTCACAGCACAACTGTTTGCTTCCAAACTGCCACCCAGGGACTGGCCACACTCCTGGCTGAACAAAAGCTCTTTGTCACAACTCAAGATGAGGGTGCTGATTCAGCAGAACTGAAGGGTCATTATTTTCCCAGAATATTTCAATTTTACATCTCAGACCCTTCTCTCCAAATGTGCTAATACTCAGTTCAATATAATGTTTAATGGGAAATGCACACCAAACTTTCTCAAGGGGGAGAAAATGTCTTGCTAATACCACAGGAGTGGTGATCAAGCTTTCGGCAGAATGGAATGGCTTCACTGACTCAGTATGGATATTAGTAGGAGCAATAAAACAATTTCTCCTCACACATAAAGGCTAGGATCATATAAAACTCACTGGCCTCTAACATGAGAAAAAGAGAAGGAGCAACTGAACTTGATTGTTCAGTCACATCCTCACAATTCCATCAGTACACAGAAAAAGGCCTGCTAACTGGCAGTTTCAACACTAAGAGAAGATGATATTAAGGTGGCAAACAACCAAGAGGTAATATCTAGTTTCTAGGTTAAAAAACAATATATATTTATATTTATAATAAAATTTTAAATACAAAGTGCTTTTTATATATCGAGAATGATACAGTGTTAGTGAATAGATCCCTGTTTTGTAACCTTTCTAGACAATGCTCAACAAGTAAACATCTTTGTGTTAGGAGCTGGAGGATCAGAGGCTATTGCCAGCGATGTCTACCATGTTAGATCAAAATCAAACTTTTTAAACAAAATTTACCCAAATCCAAGAAAAATTATTTTTATTTTAAGAAAAAAAATTCTACTTAGAAATAAGAGACCAGTTAAGTTTATGGAAAGATGACATAATAGTAGCACCCTGTCCTACCCTGATAATAACCTCAGGTACATTACACAGCTTAGGAGCATTCTGAGTATATACCTTCTTTTGAACCTAAAACATCTGACCAGCTGGCAGAAAAGGTCTCAGAATAGCTGCTTGTTTGTTGCTGGATATAGCTGTGTGGACTTGTCAATTTATGCACTCATCTGCAACCTGGAAGAATGAACCTGTAGAATATTTGGCTAAAATTAGGACTCCTTCCCTCTCTTGACACACATTGCTGCACTCAAAAGAAACTGGCAGCATTAGCTCTGGGTATCCTTCTAAGAGAGTATCCCCCTCTTCCACCAGTGTATTTTCAAGACTCCTCATGTGCAGTGTTTTTCCCTCGTGTTTAACCTTTCACTCATAAGATTCTGCTTCTCCTCTACTGTCGCTCTGACAATAGGAGTGCCATGAAGCACTGTTAACTCCTACAGCTCACAGGTAACTCAGCCAAGACTTCTGCTCCTCCTTCCTGTGACCTACGGTAACCGGCTGCTCTTGCTGGGAAGCACCATAATCTAAGATGGAGCAACAACTGGGGTACTACCTGGCACAGAGGTCAGAGTCACAGCAGGCTAGATGTCACTTAACCAGAGTAGATTTCACTGCCTGGATGCTACATTTAAAAAACAGGATTTGGGGCAGCAAACCAATTAGAAACACCTATCTCTGGCACCCAAAAGAATTACAATTAGAACAATTCAAACTCAAAGTTAGTATTAAAATACAAAACTGTGCCTTATTAAGAGTTTGAAACATTGTGACAGTCACATCTTACAGAAACTGAAGCTTGTACCATAAGTTGTTTCAGAATGTTTGTTTTAGAGTGTTACCCTCTCAGGATCTCCATAGTTTTAGTTAAAATATTCTTTAGAAAGAATGAAACCAAAGAGAGCTCTGTTAATCAGTTTCTCATACTAGGAATCACATTATTTGTAGCTTTTACATAAGTAGCATTTCATTCAGTGAAGCAGCTACCAAAACAAACCCACATTTCCTAAGTATCTATAGTTAAAGCAAAATAAAATTTCAACATGACCTTGTAATAATGAGTGATCAAAAACTGCTGCCACTGCAATGGAACTGGTAGGCTGGAGTCCAGTTCCAAGTACAGGTGTCTCTATTACCAAGTCCACCTGCTTCAAACACAACTGGCTTGAAGGTTTCCCTTGCCAGCTGGGCAGTGGGTTAACTTATCCCCATCGCCCATTTCAGGCCAAGACTGAAACATACAAAGTTGAAGAATTAGATTTTTTAATTGGCCTACTTAGAGCTGGTCTTTCAGAAATATCTTCCTTTTTTTTTTAAGCCTCTCTCATAATAGCAAGTAGCACGCATCATCTGTGCCCAGATTTGCATTAATTACCATAGTTTATTTTTGTGCATGCCACTCAAGGGCCAGATCCTATTTTTAGTTAGCCTCAGTTGTATTCTGCTCAGCCTTTGCAGCTTCGTAGGACTTGGTACAAGAAGTCACATGCCTGTGGAAACTGTCCCTCCACATAAATCTCTTTGCACAGATATTACACTCATACGGCTTAATGCCTGTATGAATTTTCATGTGGCCCACGAGATGGTGCTTCATTTTGAATTTCTTACCACAGACACCACAACCATAAGGCCGAAGACCGAGGTGCATGCTCATGTGTCTATCTCTCTGACTCTTGTGAGTGAAACTTTTCCCACACTGACAAGGATACAGCTTGTCAGTGGCTGAAAATCCTAAGTGGGAAGCTTCTTCTTTAATCCCTGTCACCATTTCAATATTCTCACTATAGCCTGCTGCAAGGGCAGCCTCCTGTCTGTGCCCAATGAGATTCCCATCTGACCTCTCTCCAGAAAATTCTTCCATGGAAGAGCCATAGAAATCCACCTGCTCATCGTAGTTACTTTCATCAGCCTGTTCGTCAAACTCTGCTTCCACCTTCTTCTCCCCAATTGGAAAGTCCTCCTCCACTCCCGAAGGCTGCACCGAGTGCTCTGTCTGCATGGTGTTGATGGACTCGGTGACCTGGTGCTCATCGTAGGCTGCGTGCACATCCATGCCCTCGCAAGCCTGCTCCAAGCGCTCAGGCTTCACGTGGATCCAGCGTTTGTGAGCCATTATGCTAGGCTTGCTATACATGGGCCGGGTGTAGTGGAACTCAGCGCTGTCACTGGCTCCCTCCTCCCCATCCTGGCTTGCCATTTCAGTACTCAGCCGGTCATGCTCCGTCGACGAGTTGCTGGGCAGGTATTCATGCTCCGTGAGCTGAGACGACAGCTCATCTTTGGTGCTCTCCTCTTCATTCTCACCATCTCTCAGTTCTTGGGCTTTGGGGAAATCAGTGTGGCTCCCAGAACCCAACTCAAAGCTCTCTACCAGGCCATTGTAACTACTGCTGCTTGGAGACTGGTGGTCACTGCCATGATTTAGCTTCTGACAAAGGACTGTAGGGTTTCCCTCTAAAACCTCAGTGCATTTGTCCACCACATGCCACATCTGGAGGAAGCTGGCTGCTGTTAAGTAACTAACGATTTCTGGAGCAGGCATTACTAGGCGTCCTGTATAACTAGAGAGGAGAATGTTCTCAAACACTCTTGGGTTCATCACATCAGGCAAAACAATTCTCCTGCTGTTTTTCAGAAGTACTTGGTCACAAAAGTAGGGTGAACTGGCAGCAAGAACAGCTTTGTGTGCCCGGAAAATGTGGCCTTGAACAACAATGGAGACGTCACATAATTGTCCTTGCTGGCGCTGCTGGTTCAGTTTCTGCAGAATGGTGCTAGAAAAATCAGGAAACTCGACTCGAAAAGAGTTTGTTCCAGGCTCCATTTCATCACAAATCTTGTTTAGTACTATAAGAGAAAGAAAAGTTAGTACTAATTCCAGCCAAAAGAGACACTTATTCTATACCCTTCTCTGTACCTAAGAAAACTAAACAAAGTTCCAAACATTTAAAAAGGCGTTTAAACCTTTAATACATAGTTTACTTTGTTATGAAAAGTAAAGCTGGAACCTAGCCCTTTTCCTTCCAAATAGCTAGCCTATTTTCCTAACACCATTTATTGAATAATTCATCTTTTCCTCAAAAAGTTCAAGTATCTATTGTGGAATTCTAAACAACAAGACTTTAAAGAGAGTTCTACAGAAATAAATGCCATAAATGAGGTTATGGAAAATAGAGTAGGAAGCTCCTCCACCAACATAATAGAGAAGCTGGAAAATGATGACTGGGATCACTATTTCAGAACTCTGAAAGTGATCAGACACAGCAATGAAGAGAATGCTGGACAAAGAGAAAGACTGCTAAACTCAGAAGAAAGCAGTGTGTGCACCCACCATTCCTCAGCCCTGCCACACCTGGTGGCAAAGAGACCTGCATTCCTAGAGCAGTGGGCTGATGCCAGGATGCACAGTATGGAGCCTGTCCTCCAACCAAGTGGGGTTGGGTACTCTGGCTAGCCCAGCAGACCTGCACAGGTTTGTTTTGACCTCCTCATGATACAGTGACCTAGCCCTATTACCCAGTACCTCAGAGTGACTTCCCACTGGCATCTATCATAAGATTTAAGAACAGATGGACCTGGACCCAGAGAGAGAGAGAGAGAGAGAGAGAGAGAGAGAGAGAGAGAGAGAGACACACATACACTTCAGGAAATCTCTAGCAGGTCACAAAAGCTGATTGCATATAAAGCAGAATGGAAGCTTCAGTGACTACATGCAACAAGGAATACAGACTTTGCAAAATACTTTGGGAAAGTTCCAGACAACTGCAGATTCAACAAGTAGCAACAACAACAAAAAAAGTCCCTAAGGAGGAGGAGAATCTGATTTCGAGCTACAATACTCAAAATGCCAGATTGCCACAAAAAGTCACAAAGCATGCATAGTAAAAGGAATATATGGCACATTCACAGGAAAAAATAAACCATGCTGAGGAAACTGAGACTTTTACTATGGTTTCTAGTGTTCCCCAAGAGTTCATGTGCTGTAAACTTCATCCCCAAATTAATATTCGAAAGGTATCTGGAGGTGGGGCCTTTGGGAGGTAATTAGCATGGTGTTAATGCTTCATAAGAAGGTTAAGAAAGATTTGAGCTAGCATATTTGTGGTCTCTGTCTTGCCATGTGGTTTCCCATCTCATGTTATGACGCAGCAGGAAGGCCCTCACTGGATGCCAAACAGATGCCAGCATCATGCTCTTGGACTTCCCAGCCTCCAGAACTATGGGCCAAATAAATTTCTGTTCTTTATAAATTACCTGGTCTTGGGTATTTTGCTATAGTAACAGAAAATAAACCAAGACATAATTACTAGTCACAGATGTTCAATCAATTGTTTTAAATATGCCCAAAGGACTAAATAAATCTATGAATAAAGAACTAAAGGAAATCAGGAGAAAAACATCAATAAGGCAATAAAAATTGTAAAAAGGAACCACATATCAATTGTGGAGCGGGAAAGTACAATAGCTGTGTTGTGAGCTGAATTGTATCCTCCCCCGCCAATTCATATGTTGAACCCCTACTACCCAGTACTTCAGAGTGACTCTAATTGGAAATACCTTTAAAAAAGTGATTAAGTTAAAATAAGGCCATTTTAGTGGCTCTACCACAACATGACTAGTCCCTTTTTTTTAAAAGAGAGAGTGAGAGAGGAGAGAGAGAGAGAGAGAGAGAGAGAGAGAGAGAGAGAGAATTTTTTTTTAATATTTATTTTTTAGTTCTCGGCGGACACAACATCTTTGTTGGTATGTGGTGCTGAGGATCGAACCCGGGCCGCACGCATGCCAGGCGAGCGCGCTACCACTTGAGCCACAACCCCAGCCCAACTAGTGTCCTTTTAAGAAGAGGAGATTTGGACACAAAAAGAGACAGCATGGATGTACACATTTAAAGAAAAGACCATGTGAGGCCCAGGTGAGAAGGTGGCCATCTACAAGCCAAGGAAGAGGCTGCAGGGGAAACCAAACAAATCGGCACTTTGATCTTGGACTGCTAGGAAGTCAGAAGGTAGTGGGATGACATCTTTAAAATACTAGAACAGGCACAGTGGCACATACCTATAATGGGGAGCGACTATAGAGACTCAGGCAGGAGGACTGTGAGTTCAAAGCCAGCCTCAGCAACTTAGCAAGGCCTTAGGCAATTTAGTGAGACCCTGTTTCAAAATAAAAACATAAAAAGGACTGGGGATGTGGCTTAGTGGTTAAGTGCCCCTAGGTTCAATCTCTGGTACCAAAAAAAAAAAAAAAAAAAGGAGAAAGGCATTTCCAGGTAAATAGAAACTAAGGGAATTCATTACCAGTAGACCTGCCTTATGAGAAATGCTAACAGGGGTCCTTTAGGCTGAAACATAAGACTCTTAGACTGAAAATTGAAGCCACATGAAACAACAATCCTGGCAAAGACAAGTAACTACTTAAGTAAATATAAAAGCCACTATTATTGTACTTTTGGTTTATAATTTCTCTTTAAACATGATTTAAAAGAAAAATGAAAAAACCAATAATTATAAAACTATGTTAACAGGCACATAATATATAAAAATGCAATATGTGACAATAATAAAATGTAGGCAGAGGACAGGAGATAAACAGGAACAGAGTACATATGTTGAAAATATTTGATATTACTTGAGTTAGGTTGTTATAAGTTTAAAATGGTCATTGTAAACCTCAAAGTAACTAAGAAACTAACTAATTGAAAAAGTGTCACAAAATAAAAATAATATGGTATATTACCAAAAAAAGGAAAAAAAAAACCTTAAATATTAAAGTGGGGGAGAGACAGTAATAGAGGAAGTGAGGCAGCTAAAAGATAGAAATAAATCCTTATCAGCAATCACTTTAAATGTAAATGGGTTAATCTCAAGAGAATGGAAGAATAAATTTAAACATATGACTTTTTTACATGACACTTTAGATTCATTTTAGATATGAAGATACAAAAAGTTGAAAGTAAAAGGATAAACAAAGAAATTCCATGTAAAGAGTAGCAAAAGGAGACTTAGGATGGCTGTATTATCAGAATCATCAGGTTTTAAGTCAAAAGGTTACAAAAGACAAAAGGACCTCATACATTAAAAAGATGTCATCCATCAAGAAGGTATTCTACAATTATAATCATATATAGAGGACTCCAAAATCATAAAAGGCAGAAATGGATAGAATTGAGGGAGAAACATAATTTTATAAGTGGAGACTTTAATGCTCACTTTAAAAAAAAAGATTTTTTTTTTTAGTGTTGACAGACCTTTATTTTATTTATTTACATGCAGTGCTGAGAATCGATCCCAGTACCTCACAAATGCCAGGCAACTGCACTACTACTGAGCCCCAGCCCCAGCGCCCACTTTTAACAATGTTCGTAAGGGATATTGGTCTTTTTTCTACTCATTGTTAAAAGTTAGATATTGACGTTTCCACTTATTATTGTAAAACTATAATCTCCCTTCAATTTTATCCATTTTTGAATCCTATCCAGATACTGCCAATCAAAATCTGAACTATATTATAAGGATCAATCACCATGATCAAGTGGGTTTTATTCTTTGCTATGGTTTGCATGTGAGGTGTCTCCCAAAGGCTCACAAGTGAGACAATGTGAAAGGGTTCAGAGGGGAAATGATCGTTGTGACAGCCTTAACCCAATCAGTAAAAGTGGTAACTATAAAGGCAGATGGGCATTGGGGTGTATATTTGTATCTGGCAAGTGGAGATCTCTCTTTCTGTTTCCAGATCATCATGTGAGCTGCTTCCCTCCGCCACACTCTTCTACCATGACTTATGTTCTGCCTCACCTCGACCCTTGAGAGATGGAACCAGCTTTCTATGGACTAGTCTCTAAAACCAAATAAACTTTTCCTCCTCTACAAATGCACTGGTCAGGTCTTTCACTCACAGCAGTGAAAAAGCTGACTAAAACATTCTTGGAATATGAGGATGGTTCAACATAGGAAACTAATTAATATATCACATTAACAGAAAAAACGGGGGGAAAGTTCCCCATGATCATCTCAATTGATACAGAAATAATATTTGACAAATTTTAACACCCTGTCATGATAAAAACAGTCAAGAAACTGACAGCCCTATAGAAGAAAACTGTCTCAATATAACAAAAACTGTCTCAATATGAAAATCCCACAGATAACAACATATTCAACAGTGAGAGAATAAAAGCTTTTCCTCCAAAATCAGGAATAAGACAAAAATGCCTGCTTTTACCACTTCTATTCAACACAGTATTGGAAGTTCTAGCCAAAGCAATTAAGCAAGGAATAAAGACATTTAAATTGGAAAGGAAGAAGCAAAAATTATCTATGTTCAAAGCTCACATTGTTTATAGAAACCCTTAAGATTTCACATAAAATTGTTAGAATGAACTCAGCAAAATAGCAGAATACACCATCAACACAGAAAAATCAGTAGAGTTTCTATACACTAACAATGAAGGACCCAAAAAGACAACTAAGAAAAATAATTCCATTCACAATAATATCAAAAAGAATAAAATACTTGGGAATTTACCACGAAGACAAAAACAAAACTTTTATACTAAAAACTACCAAATCTTGTATAAGAATTAAAGAATCAGAAAATAAATAAAAAGACATCTCCTGTTTGTGGACTAGAAGACTTAATATTGTTAAGATAATAGTATTATCCAAAATGATACATGAAAAAAAAAATGATACATGGATTTGTTACTGTTTGGATCTGGAATGTCCCTCAAAAGCTTATGTATTGGAACCATGGTCTCCAAAGCATCAAGATTCAGAAATGGTGCTTTTAGGCAATGACTGGATCATGAGGGCTCATTTAATGGATTAATTTATTGATAGCAGAATGAA